TGACCGCACAACTCGTGCGACGGGTGTGGTGCGCTTTCTGTAGGGAAGGACACTACAAAATCTTTCGCAGTATACTTTCCACTATAGAGTGTCCTATAGATATTGCACCATTTTTTGATTCAATCCTATACCCTCTTGTCAATGACCATACCAAATTCCACGGCTTACCGTTCGGCCTGCATCTCATGGTGCGCCTAAACTTCAACAGAGTGCCTAACCTCTCACACAGCTAGGTCGGACATCCGGTGATGAGCATCGCGCTTCTTTGGATTTTCAACCGCTCCGCGGCCTACCGTGCACTGAAGAGAAGACCAATAAAAGTAGTCTTTGTTGTGGCCGCCCCACAAGTTCTGACATCTTGGATCTCAGGAAAAGCATGAAGAAGCGAAACGACTGCAATACCCGGTTGGGTAGAGAGTGGTTGGATAACAACTGCTCACAGTCCATTATAAGTTGCATAAGCACCACTGCTCAATCCAACGGGAGGAGCACAGCAGAGACAAAAAGTTCAAAGAGCTGGTGTCGAGGGCCGAAAATGGCGATTACGCGGGCACCGTTTTCATCGACGACAAAATTCCTCACATGGAGCGGAGCTACAATCTTCAAACTCCGAGGATGATGCAGGTCTTGAGGAAGTCAGTGAGAGTGAAAGGAATTCGCCACAAGGCAGCCGAACCTTATCATGGTCTGGACGGGGGTCTCAACTACCGGTCGCTCACCATCACTGCCTGTTTACAAAGGAATACAACTTGATACTAGACCGAGCCAAGGGACATTTCGGTGCACCATCTGTTACTGAGGTATCTAGCCACTTTGAGGAGGGGTGATGATCTTTTCAATAGGACCCAGCTTCTGCATAGGAGGCAAAAATTGTTCAGGAGCGCTGTTGAGGCACTCTTTCCGATTTCACATCCTCGAACGAATGGCTCTCCTATCCCTTGATTTCAGCGTGCTGGACCATCCTATGTGGGCTATGTTAGAGGGCAGAGCCTGCACTAAACATTGCATCCACATGGATGAGCCGGAGCCTTTTCTCTGCAAAGTTTCGAAGAGAACACCCCAGGGATGCCATGCGGGCCACAGTAGAGTTGCGTTCGAACGTGAGAGCCAACTAACATATCTAAAGTATGTCCTGTTCACTATAAATTATTGTAAAATGATGATAAAACCTGCTAGAAAGATACATCGCATTTTGAAAGAATGGTACAATAAAGAAAAGTGGTGCAATATTATGGACACTGTGTTGAGGATGCCGGGGGCTGCTTTTGAGCGAGCCACCGAATGCGTCTTACAAAGGGAGGTCTTTCAGGGCAAGGCCGCTTTTTCAAAACGGTTTTGTGCATATTGTAGGGACGCATGTAGGGAACGCAAAACCATGTTTCATTTTCGCTGAACGGTTATAGCAGTACCAAAAAAGAAGCATAAGGTACTGTTAAGGGTTCGATCCCCGTGGCGACTAAATTTTGCATTTGGGTTGGCGCCTACGGTTTGGTGCCAAATCGCGCTAAATGTCAAAATCAGATGTCAATTCATCGTCAGGACCATTTTGAAGCCAACAAGTGGCCGCCAACCTTGATTGCAAAATTTAGTCGCCGCGGGGGATCGAACCATCAAGGGTATCATTCACCACTTTTTTGGTACTACTAAAACCGTTCAGCGAAAACGAAACATGGTTTTGTGGTCCATACATGCGTCCCTACAATATGCAAGAAACCGTTTCCAAAAAGCGCGGCTTGCCCTGAAAGACCTCCCTTGTTAGAGGCCTTGACTCTCTTCTTAGTCGGCCGCGTGTTATTCCCTTGAAGGCAGAATCCAGGGAAGTCGTGCCACGTCTGTTATTGTCCTATAGGTGTCTATTCCTACAGACCGGAAGGAATTGTCTGAAGATTCCCTTGGTCTGTAGGATAGATCCTGACAACCACAGATGGTATTCTCGTGTGCAGAAATCAACCGAAGAGCGCTAGGGCCTTGCAAAGTAAGCTGCTGAAGCTGCAATTTTTTCTTATCAGGCTGTTGTCTGGCGCTCTCTCATCTGTTGCGCTCTCTCGCCTCATACTCTCCTCTCCGCGCTTAGTCTCTCATTCCCTTAGCACAGCCGATTAGGAAGGTGAGTGAGCCTTCAACCTAGGGCGTTTTTCATAGTTCGCAACTTGGGAGATCAAGATAGTAGCGATAGTAGGATGGTATTAGGATACCTTAGTATTGTGCTGTCCCGGAACCTCATTTTTTTATTTATTCTTTTTTGTTATACAACGTTTACACTATCCCACTCTCCTATCCTAATCTACTACTATTCTACTCTCCCCTTTAATACATATCGTATTTATTGTGGCGTACTATCCTGATCTTCGGAGGACGCAACCTGAGCGTCTTTGGCGAATTCTTTTTTTTTTTTGCTTTTTGCTGCCGGTCCATTTCGCACCAATACGTTTGCATTTGTGTGGAGGAGCCACACAAAATTGATTCTGGTGCATCCTCTTGAGCAACAACCCTAGTTCGAATTGGTGGGGTGGAAGCGGTCGGTAATGAATTTGTGTATGCTGTGTTGACAGAAAATGAACAATGAAACAAAGAAGAATGCCGATGAAGCCCTTGACCCTTTGACGACCGCGGTTTCGTGCGTCTTTTCATTTCTTTTTAAATTTTTTTCGTCTTTAGTCATCAGCTCTTTCAACGATTCTATGGTCAGTAATGAACGCATTGTTTTGCGGTCCCGACACTTAAAAAAAAGTGAAGTAAATCACGAGAGAACGGTCGCCTCCGAGTGGCATGCGTCCCACCGGCGTCACCCGATCGTCAAAGGGTTACCAGTGACTCCTCCCTCTTTTCTCTTAAAACGAAGAGAGGATGCGGCCGGACGAGCTGTCCGAATTACCATGATACGCCGTCGTTTCTGAAACGCGGGCGCCTTCTCATATGGGAAAATACAGACAAAGACAACATGACGACATAGGAGCCAAGAAAATCGATCTTAACGGATCTACAGCAATCACACACAAATCATATACAACACAGAGAGCCGCTTGCCTTCCAAAGCAGTCCACAGTTTACCGCTATCGTGCAAGGACCACGCAGCCACACCTGCTCTCCACGGCTAGCAAATGGGTGGCCGGCACAGAATGGCGGAGCGCACGAAGTTGGCCTCTATCCAATACCCTCAGAGCGGCTTTTCAAGAGACTTGCTCTTACTTTAGCAAACACTTCAATTATGTTCTCGATTATGACTCGACAGCATACTATTCATTTCATTAGGCGAAAGTACGAAATCTGTTTGGGATTGTTTTAAGGGGGGTCGAACCGCAGATTCTCCGCTTCAACACACATTTTGGTGGGCCACTCCATTCTGAGGTCGAACTATCATTTTGAAACAATGATCCAACTATGCGCTATTTTTCTACAGTAGACCGCACATTTCTTGCTTTGTACCAATCTCTGAATAAATCACTGCAGAGAAACGGAAGCACCTTGGGTAGTGAGCAAATTCGAAAGGACGCCAAGAATGTCGACGTACCTCCTTGCTATCGCCATCGGAGAGTTTGAGTTTCTCGAAGGTTATACTAAAACAAACGTGAGGGTACGTAAATATTTTCTATGACGTTTCGCATTAAGCTTCGAAAATCTGCTTTCTCTTAAGTTCCGAACGTATTCACGACCGGAAGCCATTAACATGACTTCATACGCCTGCAGCTGTGGCGTCGCGTGTCTAGAATTTTTCGAGGATTTCTTCGATATCAAATATCCTTTGCCCAAGCAAGGTTGGTCGTGCTGCTCTTCACCTTGTCGATTGATAAGGTACTGCACAAACATTCAGATATGCTGGCACTGCCTGACTTCGCAGCTGGTGCGATGGAAAACTGGGGACTAATCACTTACAGGTGCCTCACTCTTTAGCATGCTTGTTTGACAGAATTGCGCAAAAACTAAACTAATTTTTAGAGAAAGCTCATTGATGTACGATGCTAATATATACCCACCAAAAGTTAGATTCAACGTTGCAGCCACGATAGCCCATGAGCTGGCTCATCAGGTTAGATTGCTCGACAAGTATTATACCACAAAATTCAAGTTTTGCAGTATAAAAAAATTGTACCGATGTAGTAAAATTTTGCAGTTCAGCATTCAGCCATTTACTTTTTTTGAAGGATGGAATCTGAATTAATGCTAGATCACACTAGTCCATTCAGAGGCTGAATGACTGAATCAATTCCATCCACCTCCGTGGATCCCCATTCACATTGATAGGGACCCATGGCCAGGTGGATTTTCAAAAAAAGGTGCCACAACAAGTTGGATGTTAAAGAAAAGAGAATACTTCTACTACAAATGGAGGCTGGCCTCCTCAGGAACCACTCGTGGCGCACTCACAGCGTAGGAGGCCTACGTAGCGATGTAACAAGACTCGACCATTCTTCTGAAAGAATTCGTTATTCTGCTTACCCGAATGACGTTTGACTACCCCAGCTGCTTAGCAAGAAGGTAGAGCAGAGCATCGGCCTTTCTGACCTCAGCACCAAATAAGATACCACCCACGGAAGTACGAAGAAGTATGGAGCAAAAGGGGTCCTCTTCCGCGGGTGGAGGACGTTTTACTCAGTTTTTTTTTATCAACTGCATCTCATAACAAGTATTATTCTCGATGGATGACCAATTTATCGCTCACCCGTTTCCATACCCGAGCGTAGTAGGCAGGCGTTTAAACCTTGATATCGCGCCCGTCTCGCGGCTTGGAAGTGCGCGATAAATCCTTCCGCTGTCAGTTGTCACGTGACGCTGCTTGAAAAGCGCGGGCACAGTTGCGGCAGCGCTTCCACTGCGGTTCAGTAATGCACGCCCATTCTCTATCCCAATGTGGAATGCTGCTGAAATAGAGAGGGTCTTTATTTGAAGCACAATCGGGAGTTTTCTTGCTTTCTTGTTCTTTTCCAGACCATTCCCCACCTCTAGCTTTATGAGTGAACGCTCTTCCACGTATATTTTCTCCCGAGGCTTGCTTTTACGCTATCGCGCGCACGGTTTGTTGGCGCTATGAAAACGGCAAACCAAATTCTCGAATTCAGCTCCGCCCAACATTAGCACTTGACCTCTCCTTCTTTCCGGCCTCTTTCCACATTCCTCTCAGTCTGTGGAGCTTTTCGTAACAGAATTATGAGGGCTTATAGAAAAATCTGCCCACTCAAGTGTCATCGTGAGCAAGCCTCCGCTCTCTTCATTTGTGCTTTGTACACTGTTGCTTATCTACACCGATTTTTTCCTGCCTCACAACTTCTACAACCGAGTTGTACATTTTTAAGTTAAGACCACCAATTTCGAGATCGCGCACCCATCGCTGAGCGCAGGGACCTCCCTAATTATGAATGTTACCTCTATGTATTCCTATGCCAGTTCTCCCGGCCTCTGCGCCTTCCCTGGAACCGAATTTTAAATTTTTGCCGTAGGCACGGCATGCCATGCCCACTGTGTGCCGGGGGCTCCGCCGGCTGATATGTGGATCGTTCTTGGTCCATGCCCCACTCATTCCAAACCTAATCCAGTCTATCCGCATGCTTCTCAGACTATCTCTAAATCCGTAACAGACAAAACAGATCGGCAAAGACACAAACAAACAGAGCGCTTTTCCAGATAAAAAATAAAGTGAGCTCGACCTTTTGCATAATGGGGTCCACAAAAATCCTGCAACACTTTGAACAAACATCTTTAGGAAAAAGAGAACGATACGCTTTTCAGTTGGTCTGGCGTTTGATTACTGTAGTGTGTCTCCGAAGGTTCCAATATTACCGTACACGAAGGCTTCGTGCAGCGTTCTACAGTACCTCTCGAACTCCTAGAAAGCCACTCTGTTTGTGTCGGTGCAGTGAGCATCTGTGCTGTATTCAGGAGGTAACTCTTTTAGTAGATTATATAACCCGCTGTCTTTAGGGCTTCGCAACCGGAGATATTTGATTCGAAGTAGAGCGCTGCTCTAGTCG